TGGGTGTGGGTGTGGGTGTGGGTGTGGGTGAGGGTGGGTATGGATGTGGGGTGTGGGTGGGGGTGGGGGTGGGGGTGGGTAGGTGTGGACGTGGGTGTGGGTGTCGGCGTGGGTGGGTAGGTGGGCATGTGGGCGTGTAGATCTGATTGTACATGAAGACAGGACCTATACTCACACTCACACCTACGCGCCACTCACACCACACACCCATACGCCACTCACGTCACACGCCCACACCCTCACCTACCCACATCCCACACCCACCTCGATCACGCTTTACTTTCTTACTTACCCTGAAATGTGTTTTCATTCTCAAGGCATGAGTAACACGTTTTTTTATTGGTATGATAAAGTGCTTCAAAACTAGGATATATGGAAATAATCTTGTTTAATTGAAAATACAAGCAAAAACCGAATTAGTCGAAAAGATATGTGCTGAAAATAATTGTTAAAGAATAAAAATGGTTAAAAAGTTTGAATCCTTTGTTTCCTACTTGTGTGCATGCACATACACTCAAATATAATGACAAATGATGTCTCGACCAATGCCGCGTAGTACCAACGCTCGAAACTCGTCATAGTTTAATTCGCCATCACAGTTTTCGTCAACTTTTTTTATATATTCACGGAGATCATTGACAGTGATCGATTCATTGAGAATCGGTAAGATGGCACTAAATTCTCTAATATCTATTGTTCCCGATTTATCCCGATCCAAAATGGTAAATGCACGTTCGAGTTCTTCATTTCTGTAGTAACCCATAATTATTGGACGTAGAGAATCGACAAACTCATCGAATGTTATTGGCCGCCGAAGTTTAGTAATCAACGATTGATATTGATCACGCGTTATACTCCATTCATAGGAACGAGAGTATTTTTCTTTGTTTTGTCGTGTTATACCAGACGAAGTTGGTGCTGAAGTCATCATAGTAGATTGATCAAATTGAAAATCAATTTTGATAGGTTGTCCCGAACAACTGCGATGAATAGTTTCTGTTATTGTATATTCGAGATTCATATCGTTCTAATAAGAATAAACAAGGAATCACATTCTGATTCTATATCTACACTGATAAATAAGAAGACTTTTTCTACAACTTACACTTTTTGCATGGTCCTCGCAATCAACCATTAAAAGAAATACGAATAAAATGATTCTCTCTACCGTGTGGCCCATAAGTAAGTAAAGCAAGTATTTTTTCGATTTCTATCTTATAGAACATCGGTTAGGCTTCATATTTATACCACATATACTAGGTGATATAAGTAATAGATGCAGCATTTAAACAATATCTAGATATTGTAATTAGTCCACAAACATACAAATATAGCATATATAAAAATATAACCCACACTATTCTTTGCTGTCTTGTGGCACTTATATATGTGCTAGGGATGACATTTAGGAGACAACAATACTAGTGGTGATCTATTTTATTGACTGGTTGTCTATTTCTGGTTCGTTTTACATTTTCTGTTGATTGCATAATTATAGCTGTGTAGTTTTCAAATTTTTTTTTCATCATGAGTGGAAGCTTTCGTTTGCCATCACCGGAAAGAATTGAAGTTGTGAAATGGTATGCCATTTATTAGAATGCAGCTGAAGTTTTCTCGTCAATTTCAGCACCGTTTCGATCGAAGTCCTTCAACGCAAAAAGCCATTGTGGATCTTGTACGAAAATTCGACGAAACGGAAAGAGTCAAGGATGCACCTAGATCTGGTCGATCTAGATTTGTTAGCACCGACGAGAACAGGGAACGTGTTCGTGCCGCTTTTCAAGAAAATCCTGAAACTTCAATAAGAAGAGCTGCTTTGGAATTGAATTTGTCTCAAAGTAGTCTTCAACGAATGATGAAGGGACTGGGATTGAAGCCTGATTGTCTTCAATTACTGTATGCTTTAAACGAAGATGATCCTGACAGATGTTGTGAATTTGCTGATACCTTTCTGAACTTGATAGCTGTTGACTCTTCCTTGGTCAGTCCAATCATTTGGATAGGTGAAGCCATTTTTAAGTTAAGTAGTCACATTAATCGACATAATTGCTTTTATTACGAAGTAGAAAATCTTCATATCATCATTACTGAAGAAATGAATGCGCCAGGAGTCACTGTATGAACTGGGATTTGGGTTGGAGGCATCATTGAACCATTCTTCTTTCACGATCATATCACTGCAGATATCTATCTCGAAATGTTACAAGAAAATATTGCTCCTGCTATTGCAAGTGAAATGCATTTAGACGAAACATTCTATATACATGATGGAGCTCCAGCTCATTACGCGCGATCTGTTCGACAATTTTTCGACGATAAATTTCCTAATCGTTGGATCGGTCGACGTGGATGAATTGACTGGCCAGCGAAATCTCCAGATCTCACACCGACTGATTTTTTTTTATGGAGTGTGATCATAGACCGTGTGTATGCGACGAAACCTCAAAATCTTCAAACACTAAAAGATGCTATAATCACCGAGATGCAAAGCTTACCAGTGAAATTATGTCGCAGTGCTTGTCAGTCAATGTCTGAGAGGCTTCGACTTTGCAAAGATTTAGAAGGTACATTTATTGAACAATTTTTATGAAAAACGTCCTAATCAAAATACTTTCTAAACGATACTTCTGTGCAGGCAATTTTTTGTTTTCAACGTATGATCAAAGTTTTGTTGAAATTCATTAGTGTTTTCTTCTTCTCAATTATTTTGTATTTGTATGTTTTTGGACTAATTACAACATCTAGATATTGTTTAAATGCTGCATCTATTACTTATATCACCTAGTATATGTGGTATAAATGTGAAGTCTAGCCGACATTCTATAAGATAGAAATCGAAAAAATACTCTGTTTGCTTTCTTGTGGGCCACCCGGTATATTAAATTTTATGGTTCCCAAGTCAGATTTATGATGATTTTTGCAAAGGTTACCAATGGCAAGATATGTGGTTCACGATAGTAAACATCTTTACATTTTCTTCCTGTTGTTTTGGAATTATGTATTTTCATCTCTATTCTACTTCAGACTAGAAAAGACATTCACATCTTTCTTGAGGATTTCAGCAAAATTCGTTAACCCAGATTCTGTCTTCTTGTCTAGAGATGTTAGTTAAAATTAACGAAAACACATGCCCAACCCAAGCAGACACATAAAAGCATACGATGGGCTCGACAAGTGGTCGAAAAGTTGAAATATATATTTTTTGTTCTTTCTGTTCCAGTTTGGAGCATCTCGATAGCTATCGAATTCCGAGCACTCGGAAAATATGTCCTATCGGACACTCATTTTCGACTTATCGAACACATTTCGACTGCTCAGCACCCATCGAAGTTTCGAATGCTCGAAGAAATAATACCTATCGAAAGAGTGGTATCGACTTCTTGGACATATTTCAACTATTCGAAACCTATCGCAATTTCGACCATTCGAGGAAAAAAAACATATTGGAAAGATATTTTCGAGTGCTTCGGTGGAGGCAAGGCAAACCCATCGTAATAACAGTTTTGGCTAGTGAGTCTGATCATCATAAAGCGAAACTCTTCAAAATTCGATTTTGAAATATTCTTTACTTTATTTAATAGTCTTAGCAGAATTATTTATGTTCGGTATAAACTTCATCTAAACGTAATAATTTTCTGACCAATATTTATTATCAACTTATTGAAATCAGAAAAGAAATTCTCCCGTGATTTTGGCCAAGATGCATTATTAATGGATTTTGAAGCTCTAAACGCTTTAAAAAAATCTAAATATTAATTTCATGTTTCGTAGTATAAATCCGTTGATTATTATATATGATGTCTAATAAATAAGCTATCTAAATAGAATTTCAAGTTTAAAAGAATTCTAGTGCCTGTCGAAGACGTGAAAAAGCTAATTTTTTTTATTAAAAATATTATTTTTAACGTTTAAAAAATAGTAGCGAAAGTTAAAAAAGCAAAGTGTAAAGTACTATCTTTTAATGAATTGAAAAGATGATTCTCATAGGAGAATAATAGTTCATCTTTAGATCAACTGCTCGACGAAGTGTTAACCATAAGTACCCATGTTCAAATCTGTTTCTCCGCATATATTCGATACGTTTCGACGACTCGAAACTAAGACATCTATCGGACAAAAATATTTTTTATTTTGATCAAATTCCGATCTCCTCGGTAAAGATCGGTCGAGTGGTCGGAAACTGCCCATCGAAACGACCCAACGCCGAGCCCTGGTTCTATCGGAAAGTGAGAATCAGAAGACTCTATCTAGAATTCCGATGGCCGTCGAAAGTCAAAATCGACGGGTCGAAATGCCTATCGAATCACCAGTTGTGAAATATTAATTGTTTATTACTCTATATTTTGCTCATATAAATAGGTTCAAATGAAATCAGACTAAATCTAATCTAAAGGAATCCTGTGTAGTGACCCTTCTTTCGATGTTCTTATCGGGATGATATCTATTCTATTGAATTTCTACTTGTTAGTAAAGTCTTCATGGGGAATATTGAATATAAAGGTTTCGACTTGAACTGTTGCCCATAAATAGGTCGCTTTGTTCTGGCAGAATCCTAAAAGTTTCAGCCAAGACAAATGCTTTCGGTTCAAACATTGAATATTGAATAAAACTATGTATCAACTTATCATTGGTAGGGTGATGAGTGTATATGAGTAAAGATCAAAGTTCTTACCAGAGGTAGTGTAGCGAGTATTTTTTTGTGAAGCACGATCTAAAACGACTGTTGAAGTATATAGAAGTGGAAAGCCGACTTTAAGTTTCACATTTTTTTTGTCTTTACAGCAAGATATATGTAGGTTCGTAGACAAAGATTTTCTCTATCCAATGGTGTATATTTTATCAAATTCTGTTGCTTACCGTGAGAGGATGAATTTTAGCTTGTGTTTATACGATTTTGATGTTGGTATCAGCTATCCTGAAGTCAAAATCGTACGGAGTAGAGTCAAGCAAAATTCACTCTCTCGTGGTACGCAATATAATTAGATAATATATACACCATTGGATAGAGAAAGTCTTTCTCTATAACCCCACATATATCTCACTCTGGAATCAGATCCTTATAGTCGACTTTAATCATAAATATCTTCAAATATTAGTTAATAACTTCCATAAATCAAATTAAAGAGAACACAAAAAAGTAAACCACTTATTAGAAGGTTAAAATGAAACACTCGAAGCAAAAATATGACGTAAGAGAAAAAAAGGAGAAAATAAACGCATCAATTTGTTATTTTTTGTTATGAGATGGAACAGGCAGCGTCTTCATCCGTTATTTGACACTTCTTTCGAACGAAACCATCTTCATTTCGATCATTATCTACCAAAAAAAAAAACATTGATTAATTGATTATATATTAAGGTCATCTCGCATTGTAAATATGCGTAGAGGATCAATCATCAATTGTTCGCACCAATAACTATGATCAACTGTTTATCGAATTCGTTGTAGAAACAAAAATGTTTGTATATACTCTGATAGTGTCTATGAGAATATTTTCCGTTTTTATCTAAATGAATTTTTCTAGAAAAAATAAGTTCACAATCAATCTCATTTCTTCCACGTACGCTCTTCTATCAAACTCAAACTATTTTTATAGATATTAGACAGAGTTTAACCTATATAAGTCTTTTTCCGACGCAGAGTGATGACGTATCAGTGTCATGTCTATTAAACGTGATATACATCTTGGTGTGTTATTTTAGGCACACTTTCTTTTCTTGCGCATCGTTACATCTATATATATAATGAAGAATGTTTGTCTGTTTGTCTGCTCGCGATGCATTCCTATACGGTACGAGCAAATGCAACCAAACTTTCCAGGAATCTTCCTGACATCCAGGAGAAGGTCAACGTCTACTATTTTTTTTCAAAAACACTGAATCCTTCGCCTGGAAAAAGCCTACCTATGTTGCTAACCAATCAGATTGCAGTATTCGGCGCTATAGAACTACCACTGAATTCCACTTCGTGAACACACAGAAAACATGAAACGAGAGGTTTTCGAGGACAGTAAGTTCGAA